CTCGAATGACTAAGGCAATTGTCGGAAACTTGCAGATGTTCCTTATTGACTCCCATAACAGAGGCATTAAATACCATGAAAAACAGATCATGAGTAATGCGCTTTGCGAACAGACACATGTTATATTAAATCAACCAATTTACCAAAAAAAGGCACTTAAGGTCTAAAACACATGCTGCTGGGAAATCAGGTGTGTCTATAAAAATACAGGATGTAGATCTATCTCTACAAAAATGTGCACATTTACATGCAAGAGTGTGGACACAAAAGAGAATAAAAATAGGACAGAGAGCTAAGTTTAGGGTGTTTGCTCATGTGTTTGCGTATGTGTGAGTGTGCATGTGCGTATGTGTGAGTGGGCATGCCTGGTGTTACAGGAGGTGTTTTCCATGGCTGTTCCCTTTTGGCTTGTTGAGTATGTGGAGGCCTGATCCTGAGAACTCTCTGGAGAGCAGTTTGGACCTCATTTTCAAAGCCCCGAGCTGCACAGCAGGAAGTCCTGCCCTTGGATGTTTGGGACAGGACAGGATCCACAGGAAGGTATTCCATGAACATGCCACGCAGGAGTCTCGGCTCTTCACAGCAAACTCAGAGACAGCTCCTTGAGAACAGTAAAGTTCAAGCGATGCTTATAGAAAACAATGTTTTTCTGAGACTCTTTACTCTGTTACAAAATATAGTAATCTTCCTACCTAGGCAACATTTTAGGGCACACTCCCCACATCTGTTCCAAAAGGGCATTTTAAATATGCTAATATATACATTTTTGCCAAATTCCTCTTCTTTTATGTTTTATGTCAGTTGGCAAACCAATCTTAGCCAATCTCCAAGGCAGCACAGACCAAGTTAGACGCCAAATTGAATTTAACACATATGAAAACAAGGCTGTGAGGAATAGATTTACAGTCTTTACAATGGCACACACTGTATAAAGGTACTAGATCACATAATTTTCACAGCTCACAACTTTCAAAACTGTTTTTATGGAGTTTTTATCTACTGAAAGATATTTCGTCAGATGAACAATCAGTATGTTGTTAAACAACTGTAAAATCCTCACATCCTAAATTACATTCCTGTCAAAAATTAAACCCGAAGCTACCCTGATTCAGATCTATTGCATGCATGCTTCATGGAGAAGCCAATCTCAGAATGCACTGCAACAAGGTCAGTGGAAAAAATTGACTGGTCCTGAAATTGCATACTCTCTGAGTAGGTACTTACTTTGTGACCAAGAAAAATATACAGTCTGTATAGTATGAATGTGTGTATAATGAATGTAATACGGACATACTACATTTGTAATACTGCCATTGTCATGTGACCTATAGCGTCAGCAGTCACTGTACGTGCAAGTCAAAATCCTGACAGAATCAGTAGATCATCCGGATACTTTTTTCCTGTTGTTTTAAAAATACAGTGAATTCAGACTTACTGTTTGCCTACAATGCTACAACTGCCACCTAAATGCTGTCTTCATAAATAAAGCTCCAACTTATGCATTCAAGAATGAAAAATAATACTTATATTTAATATTATTGTTATATTTCCTATTTTACATTTGTTTTTAATATCGTTTTCATCAATTATATTTGCATGTATTTTAACAAATTCATTTGTTTATCTTGAGTAACATTATTAGACAGCAGTAAAGTGATTACTTTGAGATAGGCTTTTATTTGAGATACAGTGGGTTAATATGACTGATTTTTCAGTGTTACAATTGCCCCCAAACACTGTTACAATCGTCTCCACCAAGGTGACAATTGTAACATTCTGACTTCTTGTATTTAATTTAACATTATAATCTTGTAATTACACTGAACAAAATTATAAACGCAACACTTCTGTTTTTGCCCCCATTTTTCATGAGCTGAACTCAAAGTCTAAGACTTTTTCTATGTACACAAAAGGCCTATTTCTCTCAAATATTGTTCACAAATCTGTCTAAATCTGTGTTAGTGAGCACTTCTCCTTTGCCGAGATAATCCATCCACCTCACAGGTGTGGCATATCAAGATGCTGATTAGACAGCATTATTATTGCACAGGTGTGCCTTAGGCTGGCCACAATAAAAGGCCACTCTAAAATGTGCAGATGTGCAAAATTAAATGTATTATCTCATAATTTCATATGTTGCTTTTTGAACTCAAAAGTGAAGTTTTTCAAGCTTATTAGTATCATTCAAAACTCCGATAGAACGACGTAGAATAAAAATGGCCTATATCTACTAGGAAATATATAATGAAAATAAAGGTTTATATAACGAAAGAAAACTTATATGGTGATCACTGAATATGAAATAAATAGTCCAAGACATTCTGACGGAGATCTTAAGCATTACATGGTTTTTCTAAACCACTAGAGGTCAGCATTATTTAGTTTTTCCTTCAACTCAAAACAATTTGTGCACAAGTGTTATGCAGTTGACTGAGTTGCATCAAGTGTCATCAGAGAATCTGAATCACTGAGTCCAGTGGATATAACCAGTGGAATAAATATCTATCTATCTATCTATCTATCTACAAATGATTGAAAATTATTTGCATTGAGAAAATTATTATGGTAAAAATATTGTTTACTTGTTTACTTTAGATGATTACTTTTGCAAGTGTTTTATGGAGAATGTATTTACAATTTTACTGTCAATCATTTTACATGATGGTCATCTCAGTTCAAACTAAAGTTCAGTGCCACGTGTGTGTGTGTGTGTGTGTGTGTTTGTTTTGTTTGTGTATGAGAGTGTGTCTCGCAGTTTGGTGGAAGCAGTAAATGAAGTGTACAGCAGCAGGGTCTGAATCTCTTCTGTTCTCCCACAGCTCTCTGACCCGAGTCTGGCCTGGGCCGATGCTCCATTAGGACTCTCTTTCATCCTTCTTATTCTCTCTGGTGTCATGAAGATGGATCAAATGAAAACACAAAAACACCCTCTTTGCCCCCAACCTGCCCTGGCCGACTGACGGCAACAGGTTTAAGCATGGAGTGGTGACTACTTCAAGACCCAAACTGTGCGTGGACTGACACACACTCACACAGAGAGAAAAAAAAACAAAAAACGCAAAACTCTCACACACAGATGGTCCCATCTAATCCCAAATGCTGTCAATGCAATAACCCCAGCCCCCTGTGGTCATGGTAGGGCCCAGATTGCCAGTAAAGAGGTGGATGCTTCATGGCTCAGCTATTTGCTGGGTAAAGGGAAAGGATTGCAGTCTTACCTCAGAGCCTTTAAACATTACGCTGCTTTAATCGAGGTGAAGGCTGTGCTGTTCACAAAGGTCAGGATCACACAGAGGACAAAGTGAAGCAAAAATAAAAAATAACCACAAACCACAATTGTTATAAATGCAACTAAACACGTTTGCTTTCCATCACTTGCTATACAACCTGCGTAGAGAGAGAAAACGAGAGATTCCAACCTCAACCACATTGAAATGTCAAGTGAAATCTGCTCAATAGAGTTCTTGCCAGAGCAAACACATGGCCAGGATACAGGAGAAATGACTTCACATTTGGAAGATATACTGCTTGCCTGATCGCAAACAATGTGAAATATAGCAGTTCATTTATATGAAACCAAGCATGCCATTGTTAAAAATCTATATTTCTGACAACAGATTTTTTCCAAACTGAATCACAAATGATTATTGCTATCTTTAAAGTGTAAGTTATGTTCACACTGATAGCATTTATTTGATATATAATATAATATAATATAATATAATATAATATAATTATTTATTTATATACATTACTGTTCAAAAGTCTGAGGTCAGTACAATTATTTTTAAAGAAATTATTCATATTACTTGTTGAGGATTCGTTAAATTGATTTAAAAGAAAAACAGCAAAGACATCTATAATGTGACAAAAGATTTCTATTTCAAATACATGCTGTTCTTTTGAACTTTACATTCATTAAAGAATACTACATTTTTTTTATCACATTTTCAAAAAAAAAAAAAATTTCCCAACCAAATCAGCTCATTGGAATGATTTCTAAATAATCATGTGAAACTGAAGACTTTTGCCTCCTGAATTCACAAAACTTTACATTCATTAAAGAATACTACTTTTTTTTTTATCACATTTTCCAAAAAAAAAAAAAATTTCCCAACCAAATCAGCTCATTGGAATGATTTCTAAATAATCATGTGAAACTGAAGACTTTTGCCTCCTGAATTCACAAGAATAAAATACATCATATTAATATAGAAAACTATAATAATAGAATATTATATCTAATAATATTTTACAATATTACTGTTTTTACTGTATTTTTTATCAAATGAAATCATCCTTGACAAGACAATTTGCATGAGACAATTTTCAAAGTAAAAAAAGAAAAAAAAATTACCAAACTTTTGAACATGATCATCGTTTACTAAAACATTGTCATATAGTTCTGTTTACAGATTTTTTCATTCAGCATTTTTATTCAGCCATGTTTTATATAACTTCAAATTATTCAGATAATTAAGATGCTAATGAGTTTACACACTTATTTGGTGTTAATGAGAGCATGTTTGTGTGTTTGTTGTACTAGAGCTTGTGCGCGCGAGAGGTGTGGAAGAAACCACTGCTTAAGTCAGGCCTTTTCACCAGTAGTGCAAGAGAAACCCCTTGGTGTGTCCACAGCCAATACACACATGCTTAATGCAGACTATGGAGCACCAGGATAGAGCACGGTCCATACTGAGCGGGGTACAAATTCCCACCAAATACGCGAATTGCATAAAAAAGAGTGAAAATGGAGGTATTGGGGATAAAAGAAGCTAAAAAGGATCCGGTCAACTTTCCTGTGTGGGTGTTCATTTTATATTTTACAGACAATGTTCCTTTAAAAGCCAGCACCTGGAAATCCCATTAGATGTGCATATAAAATCCCCCATGATTAATAGTATATGAGGCAGGGCTGGGTTGGGGGGTACCAACATGTGGACCACAGGACTCCTCCTCTGCAAGCTCACATTACACTCCATAAACTTGCTACTCTTTCCCACCTAAGCATTTAAAAAGGAGGAGGGATTGCTTGTCAGGAATGTCTCAGAACTGTGAAAAGAGCATGTAGAGCTGAGAGTGGATGTAGTGGGTCAGGCTGAAAGCTGAATGAGAGAGTGTGTGAGCTGATGTTTTACACCCGACAAACGGAAAGGCGGTCTGCTTTCAAACATCTGTTTATTGATTTGGAAAGGTGGACTTTGAGGCATTGATGTGCACATGCTGAAGTGGATATTTCCCACGTTGACTTGCACCAAACCCAAAAAGCTGCATCTCTGAGGACACCTACTCTGTGCTGTGTGCTCTTCAGCATGGATCAGCCAGCCAGTAGTTGCATGCGGAGCCCTCACACGGGCAGTGCTCTGTGGGGCTGTGTCAGGAGCTCCCATTCAGGAGGGTCCGGAGCCGGGCTGCAGCCCTACCAACAGGCCCCATTTGCCCTGCACCAAAAGCATGATTTCCTGGCCTACACAGACTTCTCCAGCTCCTGCCTGGTGCCAGCACCACACGCTTACCCTCGCGAGGACAGACTGTATCCGGAGGCGCACAGCGGGTACCAGAGGACGGAGTGGCAGTTCTCTCCTTGTGAACCCAGAGGCAGAGGGCAGGAGCCGTGTCAGGGGGCAGCAGAAGCAGTGGGAGCTGACTTGGACAGTGCAGGGGGAGGCAGGCTGCCTGGAGCAGTCACAGCATGTCTAGAGGGAGAATACTCACCTCAAAGTGTGTCAGCGGTTGACACAGAGAAAAAAAGTTCCAAGCGGAAAAGAGAAATCACAGGTGAGTTTAGGCAAGAGTGAATGAGATATGAAGCAATGGCTGGAGTGATTCATGTGAATCTTCTCATTTTTTGCCTGTTCAGAAATTGTAGAACATTATGTAAAACATTTAACTTAGCATCTAAATTCAGTGTAAGGGTTATTTGTGACAATATATCTGGTTTAACACACCGTCGCTGTGGTTATTATGATCAGTGTTTATCCAAAAATTTTGTGATCATTCACTCACATTCTTGTAATTTTAAACCTGTATGACTTTCTTTCTTCTGTGAAAAGTGATCAGTTATTTCAGCTGTTTATGTAATTAAAGTCAGTGAGGTCCAAAACAACACTGGAACCCACTGACTTTCATTGTACAGGCAAAAAACACTTTTTTTTTAAACGATCACCTTTTGTGTTTCGCAGAATAAAGAAATATATAAAGGTTTGGGACAACATGAGGGTGAGTAAACGATGACATAATTTTCATTTTGGGTTGAACTGTGTGTTTAAGGATATAGATTTTACTACAGATATTCTATTTTAAACACAGCAAGCATGCACATGAAGGATGACCCATAACACATTATTTTTGTGCATATTATTCTGCAGTTGTTTCCTTCAATTGTTGGAGGCTCTTAGGTAAAGTTCAGCTTTATAGTGTTTGCTATTGTTTTCAAATCAACTGTTTGGCGGTTTTGACTTTCAGTAAGATCTGTCATACTTTCTAAACCCAGATATTTTGATTCAAACAAAGGAGGTAAAAGAACTAAAATGTGACCCTGGACCACAAAACCAGTCATAAGGGTCAATTTTTTTGAAATTGAGATTTATACATCATCTGAATAAATAAGCTTTCCATTGATGTATGGTTTGTTAGGATAGGACAATATTTGGCCAAGATATAACTATTTGAAAATCTGGAATCTGAGGGTGCAAAAAAATCTAAATATTGAGAAAATCGCCTTTAAAGTTGTTCAAATGAAGTCCTTAGCAATGCATATTACTAATCAGAAATTAAGTTTGAATATATTTTCAGTAGGAAATTTACAAAATATCTTCATGGAACATGATCTTTACTTAATATCTTAATGATTTCTGGCATAAAAGAAAAATCGATAAATTTGACCCACACAATGTTTTTTTGGCTATTGCTAAAAATATACCCAAGCGACTTAAGACTTTGTGGTCCAGGGTCACAAATGTAAATTTCAACAAAATAATCCGTTTTTATTGTCATGGACTGTATATGAATAAGTGGATAAATGTTTTAATTCTCTTCAAGTCTAATAGACTTCCAAAAGAACAGATGCTTAGAAACTGAAACCAGCATTTTCTGTCCAGTATCAGAAGTGTCATATTATTCAAATTGATTAATAGAAGATTTTATTACTACTATTATTGTTATTATTATTACAATTACCTTAACGGCACCTCAGTAGTGTATTATATTTTGAAATGTAAAGTTTTGTGTTAAAAGTTCAGATTAACTGGCTAACGATGTCCAGAAATTATTATTTGAGAGGAGGAAAAGTGAACCTCAGTGTTTGTGGCACATCTGGTGTATTAATTTAATCTCCAAGCCTTTCTGTGGAAACTGAGACAGCATTTCTGGGATCAGGGAAAATTTCTTGAAGATAAATACATTTCTCCATTAGTGCTTTGTATAGCATTGGCCAAAACAGCAAGACAATATTCATTATGAGTGGCATTTAAAAATGATTAGCACAAATCCATCACTAGGCTCACTACTACAACAATCCATCCAGGCTTCATAGTCTAATGTGGGGAATAAATATACCCTTTCCTTCTCTGAGTTACCTTAATGTAACCCTACATCACTTGCGGTCCAAACAAGCCAGACCACGTCTGTAATATAACTTGCCTGCGATCCCACTTCTACATTCTTATCCATTGACATTTTCCTGTCGTTAAGCAGTAACAGGATCTCCACAGAACACACTCCATTTGACTGGAGAGAAATTCACCATCATGAAAATATTCATCATTGAGGTTAAGGTTTAAGTGTGCATTAATATGCGGGAAGGTGTTGTAAAATGACTGTGTAAATGATAGAACAAAGGTGTGAAAAGTTTGGCAAGGATATGATAATCAAAGCTGGTAGTGATTATGTTTTCAAGTTTTTTTGTTTTTTTTTTACCTGACATGACAGGCAGACAATCAATGATTGCATGAAATTGTAAACAGATGTGATATTCGCTCCCGAAATTAATTCTGAATCACGAAGGATGTGCTCATCATTTTTTCTTTCTCTTACATCACAGGTCTGCAGTTCACTTCAGTTTAGGGAAATAAAATTGTCATAGAAAATAATTTAATAACATGAATTAAGACAACAGAAGCAAATTTGATCAAATTTTGGAATGAAAAGAAATTTTATTTAAATATACTGTATATATTATGTACTATATACAGTATCTAGGAAATATGTGTGTGCATAATCCATCACTAGGCTCACTACTACAACAATCCATCCAGGCTTCATAGTCTAATGTGGGGAATAAATATACCCTTTCCTTCTCTGAGTTACCTTAATGTAACCCTACATCACTTGCGGTCCAAACAAGCCAGACCACGTCTGTAATATAACTTGCCTGCGATCCCACTTCTACATTCTTATCCATTGACATTTTCCTGTCATTAAGCAGTAACAGGATCTCCACAGAACACACTCCATTTGACTGGAGAGAAATTCACCATCATGAAAATATTCATCACTGAGGTTAAGGTTTAAGTGTGCATTAATATGCGGGAAGGTGTTGTAAAATGACTGTAAATGATAGAACAAAGGTGTGAAAAGTTTGGCAAGGATATGATAATCAAAGCTGGTAGTGATTATGTTTTCAAGTTTTTTTGTTTTTTTTTACCTGACATGACAGGCAGACAATCAATGATTGCATGAAATTGTAAACAGATGTGATATTCGCTCCCGAAATTAATTCTGAATCACGAAGGATGTGCTCATCATTTTTTCTTTCTCTTACATCACAGGTCTGCAGTTCACTTCAGTTTAGGGAAATAAAATTGTCATAGAAAATAATTTAATAACATGAATTAAGACAACAGAAGCAAATTTGATCAAATTTTGGAATGAAAAGAAATTTTATTTAAATATACTGTATATATTATGTACTATATACAGTATCTAGGAAATATGTGTGTGCATGTATATATATATATATATATTCTGCTCTTCTGTCAGTTGTCTTTTAAAGATTATTATACACGTTGAATATGTGTTGAACACATTCATAGACCGTAATTTTGACTGTTCCCCTTTGTTTGGTGAACAATAACTGATGTAAAATTAAGCTTGTCAGTTCATGTTGACTTCATTTGGTCAAATTACTTTAGTGCCTTCTACATAAAATGCCAATCCCACCAGACACCCCACCGAGGGGAGAGGTTGCTCCCTAAATGTTTATGGGCTTTTGCTGGGGAAATTTATTGGAGTCTGTTTTTTTGGAGCACGCACATACACACAGTGCCAGGTGTTTCTCACCCAACCTGCCACCACTTTATAAATTGTGTTTTCAGGTTGCTCTTAGAATAAACCATTTCCCTTGTTGAACTTTTTTTTGTACCTCTCTTTTTATATGAAATTAATAAAACAGATGTTGCATAAAAATGAGAAAAAAACTAATTGTGAATTTTTTTTTTTCTTCTGATCTCACTTGAATTGTAATACGGACAATTTTATACTGACACCTGCTGGCGTGGAGGCAGCATTACACCAAAATTATGTTAACATAAATATCAACAACAATCAATTCTGTGTGATTTAGAACTATTGTGGTTTGCATCATGAATGCATTTGAAATAGGTTTATAATCCAAGATGGGTTGTTTCATTTTTATTAAAGGGATAGTTCCCCCCAAAACTGAACTTTCTGTCATCATATACACACCGTCATGTCGTTCCATTACTTTTTTTCTCAAAAGACAAAAGAAAATATTTTGAAGACAAAAGAAGATATTTGATATTTAATGTTTTCACTTATAAAATAAAAGGCTAAATTGTGTTTTCAGGTTGCTCTTAGAATAAACCATTTCCCTTGTTGAACTTTTTTTTGTACCTCTCTTTTTATATGAAATTAATAAAACAGATGTTGCATAAAAATGAGAAAAAAACAAATTGTGAATTTTTTTTTTCTTCTGATCTCACTTGAATTGTAATACGGACAATTTTATACTGACACCTGCTGGCGTGGAGGCAGCATTACACCAAAATTATGTTAACATAAATATCAACAACAATCAATTCTGTGTGATTTAGAACTATTGTGGTTTGCATCATGAATGCATTTGAAATAGGTTTATAATCCAAGATGGGTTGTTTCATTTTTATTAAAGGGATAGTTCCCCCCAAAACTGAACTTTCTGTCATCATATACACACCGTCATGTCGTTCCATTACTTTTTTTCTCAAAAGACAAAAGAAAATATTTTGAAGACAAAAGAAGATATTTGATATTTAATGTTTTCACTTATAAAATAAAAGGCTTCATTGTATGGACAAATGTATTTCTTCACACAGAAGAAAGCACAACATAAGTTATTCAGATTTGGAATGACATGAGGAGAGTGACTAAAGACAGAATTTCAATTTTTGTGTGAACTATGCCTTTAAGCATAATAATAATCATCCAGAAAGCTCTCAAATCTCTGTTGAAAGTACAGTTTGGGATCAGCTCCACTCTTGGCCTCAAAATTTTGAAGGAAGCATCTGGATGAGCCCGAAAATCGATTTCAACCAGAACTTAGACCGGCCCATGTGGGGGCGATTCACACCAGAAGTCTGGAGAGTGACCGCTGGTGTAGCGCTGTGGAGAATAATAGGTGGGTAGGAGTGAAAAGATGATTTCTCAAGTACAGGATGTTGTTGTAGCAGGTAGCCAGTCATCCAATTTCCTGCTTCCCAAAGAAAACAGTGGTAAAGCATCCAGGGTCCAGGGACTCACAATGGTGGGCCTATACTCTGGCTGGCCGGCCGGCCAAACAAAGACTGGAGAGGTGAGTGTC